GCGCGGAATCATCACCATAATCATTGACATCGTTGACATAATCGTCATCACCATTAACATCATCGTCATCATCGTCATCATCATCAACATCAACGTAGACATCAGCAGTCATCGGTGCCATGGTAACCATCACCGCCATCATCGTCACCGTCACCATCACCGCCACCACCATCATCGTCACCATCATCGCCACCACCATCATCGTCACCGTCACCATCATCGCCACCACCATCATCGTCACCGTCACCATCATTGCCACCACCATCATCGTCACCGTCACCATCATCGTCACCGTCACCATCATCGTCACCGTCACCATCATCGTTACCGTCACCATCATCGTCACCGTCACCATCATCGCCACGGTCATCGTGTTCGGAGCGTGTGACTGCTTGAAGTGTCCACGTGGTGATGATGATGGTGATGATGATGATGGTGATGATGATGGTGATGATGATGATGATGATAGTGATGGTGATGATAGTGATGATAGTGATGATGGTGATGATGATGGTGATGATGGTGATGATGATGGTGATCATGATGATGGTGATGATGATGGTGATCATGATGGTGATGGTGATCATGATGATGGTGATCATGATCATGGTGATGATCATGATGATGGTGATCATGATGATGGTGATGATGGTGATCATGATGATGATGGTGATGATGATGGTGATGATGGTGATGATGATGGTGATGATGATGATGAATCGCCACATCGTTGGGGCAATCGAATTTGTCCGCTGAACCACTTAGGCTGTCGCCTGATGAAGCCGGTCGTAAATTACTGGCGAAACGTGACGGTGCTCAGATTGTAAATGTTGTGGCTTGGCTCTCCAACACAACCGGTGTAGTTGCTGTACTAGTACACTACATTATACACTACACTATACACTACACTATACACTACACTATATACTACACTATACACTACACTATACACTACACTATACACTACACTATACACTACACTACTATACACTACACTATACACTACATTAGACACTACACTATACACTAGTGCTGCACTAGTACACTACACTATACACTACACTATACACTACAGCTGCACTAGTACACTACACTATACACTACACACTAGTGCTGTACTAGTATACTACACGATACACTACACACTAATGCTGTACTAGTACACTACATTATACACTACACTATACACTACACACTAGTGCTGTACTAGTACACTACACTATACACTACACTATACACTGCACTATACACTACACTATACATTACACTACACACTAGTGCTGTACTAGTATACTACACTATACACTACACTATACACTACACACTACACTACACACTACACTACACTATACATTAAACTACACACTACACTACACACTAGTGCTGTACTAGTATACTACACTATACACTACACTATACACTACACTAGTGCTGTACTAGTATACTACACTATACACTACACTAGACACTAGTGCGGTACTAGTATACTACACTATACACTACACTACACACTGTACACTACACTATACACTAGTGCTGTACTAGTATACTACACTATACACTACACACTATACACTACACACTAGTGCTGTACTAGTATACTACACTATACACTACACTACACACGAGTGCTCTACCAGTAACGAATTGGCCACGCCCTGTTGAACGTGAGACACAACCTTTACTATACACTACACTATACACTACACTATACACTACACTATACACTACACACGAGTGCTCTACCAGTAACGAATTGGCCACGCCCTGTTGAACGTGACACAACCTTTACTATACACTACACTATACACTACACTATACACTACACTACACACGAGTGCTCTACCAGTAACGAATTGGCCACGCCCTGTTGAACGTGACACAACCTTTACTATACACTACACACTACACTACACTATACACGACACTATACACTACACACGAGTGCTCTACCAGTAACGAATTGGCCACGCCCTGTTGAACGTGACACACAACCTTTACTATACACTACACTATACACTATACTACACACTACACTACACTATACACTACACACGAGTGCTCTACCAGTAACGAATCGGCCACGCCCTGTTGAACGTGACACACAACCTTCACCGATTGGCCGTGCCGTGTGGCGGCGGGTTCAACAACACAACATTTAGATTATTCACGCGATGGGCACGGAGCCACACGCCAGCTCAGAGTGGGGCCCTTCAACACGCGGTATGAAGTTAAATACAATTATTATTAATTATTAGTTTGTGTTCGATAGCCGCGTTGTGAGAGTTTTAGTCTTCAGATCAACGCGAACGCCCCAGGGCTGGGCCGAGCACGTGACGTTTCCCCCACCCTCCACCTGTCAAAGACAAAGCTCCCCCGTGTAGTCTTTAACAGGCTGTAGGGGCAAGTGCTCCCCCGTCTAGCCTCTAACAGGCTGCAGGGGCAAGTGCTGTTAGCGAGCAGCTCACACACAGACAAAGATCCCCCGTGTAGCCTCTAACAGGCTGTAGGGGCAAGTGCTGTTAGCTAGCAGCAGCTCACACACAGACAAAGCTCCCCCGTGTAGCCTCTAACAGGCTGCAGGGGCGAGTGCTGTTAGTGGGCAGCAGCTCACACACAGACAAAGCTCCCCCGTGTAGCCTCTAACAGGCTGTAGGGGCAAGTGCTGCTAACGAGCAGCTCACAGACACAGACAAAGCACCCCCGTGTAGCCTCTAACAGACTGTAGGGGCAAGTGCTGTTAGTGTGTAGCAGCTCACACACAGACAAAGCTCCCCCGTGTAGCCTCTAACATGCTGTAGGGGCAAGTGCTGTTAGCGAGCAGCAGCTCACACACAGACAAAGCTCCCCCGTGTAGCCTCTAACAGGCTGTAGGGGCAAGTGCTGTTAGCTAGCAGCACACATACAGACACAGACAAAGGTCCCCCGTGTAGCCTCTAACAGACTGTAGGGGCAAGTGCTGTTAGTAAGCGAGCAGCAGCAGCAGCGAACACGAGGGGGTTGGATGTGGCCCAGCAACCACGCCCGGCCGTCTTTGTCTCTCCCCCCCCCCTCCCCCAATGGAGATGTTTACTACACACACACACACACACGGCACCGGGTAACTCATTCGAGGCCGAGTCGACCTAGGGGATGGCTCGGAGATGTGGACGCTAACCGTTGTGCCACCGCTCCCCCGCACCGCGTCACACCAACAGAGGGGTGTGGTGGGCGGGTGGTGGTGGTGTGGAACGTCGCCTGTGCAAACAATGCATAAATAACAACAACAACACCAACATCAACAACTTGAATCATCTGAAATTCTTGTAGACTTTTTTTGTTCGTCAGTGAGCCCGGCGAATCTGCGGGTGTGTTCCTCGTGTCGCGTGCTGGCTAAGATAATTAATAATGAAATCAGCGTAAATATAATACTATAATTACCGTGAATATAATACCATAATTACCGTGAATATAATACTATAATTACCGTGAATATAATATTATAATCACTGTAAATATAATACTATAATTACCGTAAATATAATACTATAATCACCGTAAATATAATACTATAATCACCGTAAATATAATACTATAATCACCGTAAATATAATACTATAATCACCGTGAATATAATACCATAATTACCGTGAATATAATACTATAATTACCGTGAATATAATACTATAATTACCGTGAATATAATACTATAATTACCGTGAATATAATAATATAACTACCGTAGATATAATACAAAAATCACCGTAAAAATAATACTATAATTACCGTAAATATAATATAATTACCGTAAATATAATACTATAATCACCGTAAACATAATACTATAATTACAGTAAATATAATACTATAATCACCGTAAATATAATACCATAATCACCGTAAATATAATACTATAATCACCGTAAATATAATAATATAATCACCGTAAATATAATACTATAATTACCGTAAATATAATACTATAATCACCGTAAATATAATACTATAATCACCGTAAATATAATACTATAATCACCGTAAATATAATACTATAATTACCGTAATTATAATACTATAATCACCGTAAATATAATACTATAATTACCGTAAATATAATAATATAATCACCGTAAATATAATAATATAATTACCGTAAATATAATACTATAATTACCGTAAATATAATACCATAATCACCGTAAATATAATACTATAATCACCGTAAATATAATACTATAATTACCGTGAATATAATACTATAATCACCGTAAATATAATACTATAATTACCGTAAATATAATACTATAATCACCGTAAATATAATACTATAATCACCGTAAATATACTATAATTACCGTAAATATAATAATATAATCACCGTAAATATAATACTATAATCACCGTAATTATAATCATATAATTACCGTAAATATAATACAAAAATCACCGTAAAAATAATACTATAATTACCGTAAATATAATAATATAATTACCGTAAATATGATACTATAATTACTGTAATTATAATACTATAATCACCGTAATTATAATAATATAATCACCGTAAATATAATACTATAATCACCGTAAATATAATACCATAATCACCGTAAATATAATACCATAATCACCGTAAATATAATAATATAATCACCGTAAATATAATAATATAATCACCATAATTATAATACTATAATCACCGTAATTATAATAATATAATCACCGTAATTCAACTCGCGGCTGAGAAGCGCGGTGCGGGTGAGAGGGGTGGGGGAAAGACGGCCGGAATGCAACCCGGATTGCAGTTGCGTGCAACCCGGATTGCAGTTGCGTGCAACCCGCGTGCAACCCGGATTGCAGTTGCGTGCAACCCGCGTGCAACCGGATTGCAGCTGCGTGCAACCCGCGTGCAACCGGATTGCAATTGCGTGCAACCCGGATTGCAATTGCGTGCAACCCGCGTGCAACCCGGATTGCAGTTGCGTGCAACCCGGTCACTGCGAGCGGCGGCCACTCGCAACTCGCCGTCACGTGACCCGCGTCGGCTGTGGGCGGAGCCACGCCGTTGGGTGAGTGGGGGAGGGGGCGTGGTCACATGCTTTAGTTAGCCACGCCCCCAACAAACGCGCGCGCATGCGCGCGCCGGCCAAAAAATAACAATATTTGTGTAAATGTCACAAAAAGCCTTAAATATAACGAACACTTGCGTAAGCGTTAACATCGACCCGTCGGTCACAGTTACAGCCACGACGATAATTATAATTAATTACCTCCACTCTCTCCCCCGATTTAATTAACGAGAGAGAGAGGAAAAATACTGCAGTTATGAAATCATCCTTAATTAAGACGATGAGAAACCCCTTCCCACCCCCCCCCCCCCCTCCCGTTTCAAGTGGTACGGTCCAAAATGAGTGGCTCAGGACAACGTTGATTGCCCAATGCGGCCCCAATGCCGTAGGGAAAGAAGTTCCACTCAAAGCCACCACCCCCCCTCCTCCGGCGCAAGTGGTACGGTCCAATCTCTCAGCGAAGAGATCGCCACTACTATGGAATGTACCACTCTCACACACACACCCCCCCCCCACCACCACCTCCCGTATTCAAGTGGTATGCTCCAACACGTACACGGTATGTAGTGCTGTGTGACCCCAATATGCCACTGCTTTGGAATGTACCACTGAAACTGCCCCCCCCTTGTATTCAAGTGGTATGCTCCAACACGTACACGGTATGTAGTGCTGTGTTACCCCGATACGCCACTGCTGTGGAATGTATAACACTGACAACAGGCACAGACACGCACGCAAACACCGCTCTCCCCCACCCCCCACACCCCATCCAAGTGGTACGCTCCAAACCATCACGTGGAGCTCTACCCAACGCGGAATGTACCACTCACAACGGCGGAGGAGGGGAGGCATGGGGAGGGGGTGTCGTGTGGGTCCGCCCCCTGCCTAGCCAGAGCCCGGGCAGTCGGACCGTACCATTGCCGTGACGGCGGGGGTGGCGGTTGGACTGGTCAACTGTGGAGGGGCCGGAGGGGTGGGCAAGGCGCTGCCGCTGTAGCCCTCTTCCAGGGATGACGACGATGACGAGGAGGAGGAGGAGGAGGATGACATGGTGGACGCTGCTCCTCCTCCTGCTGCTGCTGCTGCTCCATCCACCTCGTTGTTGTCGACCCCGGCTGGTCCCGAGTCACCCCGGGATATCGCCTTCAGCCTCCTCACCTGCCGAGAGGGTGGTCGTGGTTGTTGTTGTTGTTGTTGCTGTTGTTGTAGTGGTTGTTGTTGCTGTTGTTGTTGTGGTGTTTGTTGTGGTGGTTGTTGTTGTTGTGGTTGCTGTGGAGGTTGTGGTGTTGGTGGTTGTGGTGGTGGTTGTTGATGTGGTGGTTGTCGATGTGGTGGTTGTTTTGGTGTTTGTAGTGGTGGTGGTTATTGATGTGGTAGTGGTTGTTGTGGTGGATGTTGATGTGGTAGTGGTGGTTGTTGATGTGGTGGTGATGGTTTTTGTGGTGGTGGTGGTGGTTGTGGTGGTGGTTATGATAGTTGTGGTGGTTGTGGTGGTGGTTATGATAGTTGTGGTGGTGGTTGTGGTGGTGGTTGCTGACCTCGGCACGTAGCCGCTTGATGGTAGAGGTGAGTTTGCCGACGCGTGATGAGTCGGCACGGCCACGCAGCTCCCCGTGCAGACGCTCCTCCTCCTCCTGCCACAACCACCACCACCACCACCACATCAACCACAACCACAGCCACCACCACCACAACATCATCCACAACCATCACCACAACTACATCAACCAAAACCATCACAACATGAACCAACACCACCAGCATCACAACTACATCAACCACAACCACCACCACAACTACATCAACCACAACCATCACAACTACATCAACCACCACCACAACATCAACCACCACAACATCATCCACAACCGCCATCACAACTACATCAACCACCACCACCACAACAACAACTACATCAACCACCACCACCACAACGACATCAACCAAAACCATCACAACATCAACCACCACCACCACCACAACATCAACCACAATCACCACCACAACGACATCAACCACAACCATTACATCAACCACCACCATCACAACAACATCAACCAAACCACCAGCATCACAACATCATCCACAACCACCATCATCACAACCACCACCACCACAACTACATCAACCACCACCACCACAACGACATCAACCAAAGCCATCACAACATCAACCACCACCACAACATCAACCACAACCACCATCACAACTACATCAACCAAAACCATCACAACATCAACCACTACCACCAGCATCACAACATCATCCACAACCACCATCATCACAACCACCACCACCACCACCACCACAGCAGGTGCCATGGGTCGACCAACTGAGATGACTGCCTGATGCACCACCTGTACCCCCTACTGTGCCAGGCTAGGTGCAGGAGGTCACGGGACAGACCCTGCAGGTGCTATGGGTCGACCGACTGAGATGAGTGGTAGATGCACCACCTATGTCCCCTACTGTGCCAACCGCCAGCACCACCACCAGCACCACCACCACCAGCACCACCACCAGCACCACCACCACCACCACCATCAGCACCACTACCACTTGCACCAGCACCACCGCCAGCACCACCACCAGCACCACCATTTGCACCAGCACCACCACCAGCACCACCACCACCAGCATCACCACCACCATCAGCACCACCACCACTTGCACCAGCACCACCACTACCACTTGCACCAGCACCACCACCAGCACCACCACCACCACTTGCACCACCACCACCAGCACCAGCACCACCACCACCAGTACAACCAGCACCACCACCAGCACCACCACCACCACTTGCACCAGCACCACCACTTGCACCAGCACTACCAGCAGCACCCGCACCATCACCAGCACCACCACCAGCACCACCACCAGAACCAGCACCACCACCACCACCACCACTTGCACCACCACTACCACCAGCACCACCACTTGCACCAGCACCACCAGCAGCACCCGCACCATGACCAGCACCACTACCACACCAGCACCACCACCACCACTTGCATCAGCACCACCCCGAGCACCACCAGCACCAGCAGCACCACCCCCACCACACCACCAGCACCCCCACCAGCACCCCCACCACACCACCAGCACCCCCACCAGCACCCCCACCACACCACCAGGACCCCCACCCCCATCAGCACCCCCACCAGCACCCCCATCAGCACCACCACCACCCCCACCCCCACCACCACACCTGCATCTCTAGTTGACAGACTCTCTGCCTGAGCTGCAGTGTAGAGGCCTCCTCCTCCACGCCACGGAAGCGAGCTGCCATGGCACGCTCCTGGCCCTGGGGCGGGCGGCACGGGGGGGGGGAGCGGAGGGGGGGAGGGGATTGTTAGTTGGATTAACAGATTAGTTTCCAGATTTCCAGATGCATTGCCAGATGATTCACTGGATGAATTACCAGATGGATTACCAGATTAAATTCCAGATGGATTACCAGATGAAATTCCAGATGGATTACCAGATGAAATTCCAGATGAATTACCAGATGAAATACCAGATAAATTACCAGATGAAATTCTAGATGAATTACCAGATGAAATTCCAGATGAATTACCAGATGAAATGCCAGATGAATTACCAGATGAATTACCAGATGACATGCCAGATGAATGGCTGGATGGATTGCCATATGAATGAATTACCAGATGGATTACCGGATAAATCACCAGATGAATCTCCAGATGGATTACCAGATGAATTACCATATGAATCGCCAGATGAATTACCAGATAAATTACCATATGAATTGCCAGATGAATTACCAGATAAATTACCAGATGAATAACCATAAGAATTACCAGGTGAATTACCAGATGAATAACCATAAGAATTACCAGATGAATTACCAGATGAATAACCATAAGAATTACCAGATGAATTACCCTATGAATCAACAGATGAATTACCTGATAAATTACCATATGAATTGCCAGATGAATTACCAGATAAATTACCAGATGAGTCAACAGGTGCTTTACCAGATGAATTGCAAGATTAATTACCTGATGAATTACCAGATGAATAACCATAAGAATTACCGGATGAATTACCAGATGAACAACCATAAGAATTACCAGATGAATTACCAGATGAATTACCAGATGAATAACCACAAGAATTACCAGATGAATAACCATAAAAATTACCAGGTGAATTACCAGATGAATAACCATAAGAATTACCAGATGAATTACCAGATTAATCACCAGATTAATCACCAGATTAATTACCATATGAATTGCAAGATGGATTGCCAGATGAATGACCAGACGGATTGCCAAATGAATCACCGAATTATTTGCCGGATTAACTGCCCGATGACTTGCCGGATTAATTTGCCGTATTAATTGGCCGGATTAATAATTGCGTTCCCCGCCCAGTGCAATATTTGCATGTTCTGGTGACAGCCGCAGCAAAGGAACGCGCCGTGGCGGCTGCCGTGGTGAGCGCCGGCAGCGGTGGCGGCGGCTACGGTGAGCACCTGATGCTGGTGGTCGGTGAGGCACCGGTGAGTGCGGTTGAGCTGCGCCCTCAACGTCGAGCCCTCGTCCTCCAAACGCTGCTCCGTCTCGCGGCACGACGCCAGATCCCTCTCCATCCGGCGCAGCTCACCGGACGTCACGTGACTCTGGTCGGGGGCGAGCGGGCGGACGGGCGGGCGGGCGGGCGGGTGGCGAGCGGGTTGAGCGATTGAGTGAGTGAACGAGCGAGTGCGTGATTGAGTGGGTGAGTGGGTGAGCGAGTGGGTGAGCGAGACGTTGGGTGATTGGGTGGGTGGGTGAGTGGTTGGGTGAGTGGTTGGGTGAGTGAATGAGCGAGTGGGTGAGCGAGAGGATGGGTGATTGGGTAGGTGGGTGAGTGGTTAGTTGAGTGAATGAGCGAGTGGGTGAGTGATTGAGTGAGTGGTTGGGTGAGTGAGTGAGCGAGTGTGTGATTGAGTGGGTAAGTTAATGAGCGAGTGATTGAGCGAGTGATTGAGTGAGTGTATGATTGAGTGGGTAAGTGAATGAGCGAGTGAGCGAGAGGATGGGTGATTGGGTGGGTGAGTGGTTGGGTGAGTGAAAGAGCGAGTGGGTGAGCGAGAAGATGGGTGATTGGGTGGGTGGGTGGGTGAGTGGTTGGGTGAGTGAATGAGCGAGTGGGTGAGCGAGAGGATGGGTGATTGGGTGGGTGAGTGAGTGGTTGGGTGAGTGATTGAGCGAGTGGGTGAGTGATTGAGTGAGTGGTTGGGTGAGTTAATGAGTGGGTGAGTGAATGAGTGAGTGGGTGAGCGCGAGGTTGGGTGATTGGGTGGGTGGGTAGGCGAGTGAATGGTTGGGTGAGTGAATGAGCGAGTGGGTGAGCGATTGAGCGAGTGAGCGATTGAGCGGGTAAGTTAATGAGCGAGTGGGTGAGCGGTTGAGCGAGTGAGCGAATGAGCGAGTGAGTGGTTGAGCGGGTAAGTTAATGAATGGGTGAGCGATTGAGCGAGTGAGCGAATCAGCGAGTGCGCGAGTGAGCGGGTGAGTTAATGAGCGAGTGAGCGAGCGAGCGGGCGAGCGGGCGACTGACTGAGCGGGTGAGTGAGTGCGTGGGCGAGTCACCCCGCGGGTCACCAACCCCCTCCCCCCACCTGCGTCTCCAGCTCGATGAGACGGTGCCGTGTCTGGCTCAGCTCGGCCAGTGCCCGCGTCTCAGCGATCCGTGCCGCCATCAACTCATCCTCCACCGCGGCCGGCGTCGCTGCGGTGGAGGTGGTGGTGGTGGTGGAGGTGGTGGTGGTGGTGGGGGGCTGGCGCTGATGGTGGGGGCCGGCTGCGACGTAAGCCTGGGATTGAGGTGGGGGGGGGGGGGTGGGCAGTGGTGGGTGGGTGGACGCTGCTCACGCCCGACCCCGCCCGTAACCCCTGCCCCCGCCCGTAACCCCTGCCCCCTGACCCCTGACCCCGCCCACCTCCCAGCTGCGCTGCAGCGCCGCGAGGCGCCGGCGCAGCTCGTGGGCGCCCTGCAGGGCGGCCGCCTCGGCCCCGCGTGACGTCAGCAGCGAGGAGCGCAGCCGAGGAGCAGAGCCCTCCTCAGGGAGCTCACAGCGCCTCTACGGGGGGGGGGGGAGAGGGGGGGCAGGGGGGGGGCAGGGGGGGGGGGGCAGGGGGGGGCAGGGGGGGGGCAGGGGGGGGAGGGGGGGGGCAGGGGGGGGGAGAGGGGGGGGCAGGGGGGGGGAGAGGGGGGGGGGCAGGGGAGTGAGTGACTTTGTGATATTTGACAAATGCGGAACACAACCCCGGCCAGTACACATGGCCTGGACCCTGCTCCATCTCTATGATGGTGTGGCCTGACCCTCCTCACCTGCTCCATCTCTATGACGGTGTGGCCTGCCCCCTTCTCACCTGCTCCATCTCTACGACGGTGTGGCCTGACCCTCCCCCCCTCCTCACCTGCTCCATCTCTATGATGGTGTGGCCTGCCCCCTCCTCACCTGCTCCATCTCTACGACGGTGTGGCCTGACCCTCCCCCCCTCCTCACCTGCTCCATCTCTATGATGGTGTGGCCTGAACCCTCCTTGCCTGCTCCATCTCTATGATGGTGTGGCCTTCCCCTCCTCACCTGCTCCATCTCTATGACGGTGTGGCCTGCCCCCCTCCTCGTCTGCTCTACCTCTATGATGGTGTGGCCTGGCCCCTCCTCGCCTGCTCCATCTCTATGACGGTGTGGCCTGACCCTCCTCGCCTGCTCCATCTCTATGACGGTGTGGCCTGATCCTCCCCCCCTCCTCACCTGCTCCATCTCTATGACGGTGTGGCCTGTCCCCCCTCCTCACCTGCTCCATCTCTATGACGGTGTGGCCTGCCCCCTCCTCACCTGCTCCACTTCTATGATGGTGTGGTCTGACCCCTCCCCCCCTCCTTGCCTGCTCCATCTCTATGACGGTGTGGCCTAGCCCCCCTCCTCACCTGCTCCATCTCTATGACGGTGTGGCCTGCCCCCCTCCTCGTCTGCTCCATCTCTATGACGGTGTGGCCTGACCCCCCCTCCTCGCCTGCTCCATCTGTATGACGGTGTGGTCTGACCCTCCTCACCTGCTCCATATCTATGACGGTGTGGTCTGACCCTCCTCACCTGCTCCATCTCTATGACGGTGTGGCCTAGCCCCTCCTCACCTGCTCCATCTCTATGACGGTGTGGCCTGCCCCCCTCCTCGTCTGCTCCATCTCTATGACGGTGTGGCCTGACCCCCCCTCCTCGCCTGCTCCATCTCTATGACGGTGTGGCCTGACCCTCCTCACCTGCTCCATCTGTATGACGGTGTGGCCTTCCCCCTCACCTGCTCCATCTCTATGACGGTGTGGCCTGACCCTCCTCACCTGCTCCATCTCTATGACGGTGTGGCCTGCCCCCCTCCTCACCTGCTCCATCTCTATGATGGTGTGGCGTGACCCCTCCTCACCTGCTCCATCTCTATGACGGTGTGGCATGACCCTCCTCACCTGCTCCATCTCTATGATGGTGTGGCCTTCCCCTTCTCACCTGCTCCATCTCTATGACGGTGTGGCCTTAATCTCCTCACCTGCTCCATCTCTATGACGGTGTGGCCTAAACCCTCCTCACCTGCTCCATCTCTATGACGGTGTGGCCTAATCCTCCTCACCTGCTCCATCTCTATGATGATGTGGCCTACCCCTCCTCACCTGCTCCATCTCTATGACGGTGTGGCCTGGCCCTCCTCACCTGCTCCATCTCTATGATGATGTGGCCTACCCCCTCCTCACCTGCTCCATCTCTATGACGGTGTGGCCTGCCCCATCTCACCTGCTCCATCTCTATGATGGTGTGGCATGCCCCCCTCCTCACCTGCTCCACCTCTATGATGGTGTGGCCTGCCCCCTCCTCACCTGCTCCATCTCTATGACGGTGTGGCCTACCCCCTCCTCACCTGCTCCATCTCTATGATGGTGTGGCCTGCCCCCCCTCCTCACCTGCTCCATCTCTATGACGGTGTGGTCTACCCCCTCCTCCTCACCTGCTCCATCTCTATGACGGTGTGGCCTGCCCCCCCCTCCTCACCTGCTCCATCTCTATGACGGTGTGGCCTGCCCCCCCCCCCCCTCCTCACCTGCTCCATCTCTATGATGTGCTCCTGGACGTGCTGCAGGGCGGTGTGTACGGCCTGCTCCCTGAGCTGCGAGCGAGCCAGCTGCTGCTCCAGCCCCAACACAAACTCCTCAGAGCAGCGGAGGCCCCGGGACACCTCCTGGCAACGTCACAGCGGAACGCAATCAGTTGCCGCAATCAGTTGCGATCATCTGCAATCGGTTGCCGCGATCGGTTGCAATCATCCGCAGCCAGCTGCCGTTTTGGGCCACCCAAATGCGTATACATTTACACGACAAAAACAAAAATGTGGATTTCAATGGCTGTACACGGATTGTAATCTCGCTACATGGATTGTAATCTCGCTACATGGATTGCAATGGATTGCACACAGGCCCTGAAACCATAAATTATTTACGCAGCACTCCCCAGACAGATCCGCAAAAAAGGAAACATCTTCCGATGGATCTCAATGACTGTAGATGTATCACAATGACTACAGATGGATCTCAATGGCTACAGATGGATCACAATGACTGTAGATGGATCTCAATGGCTGTAGATGGATCTCAATGGCTGTAGATGGATCACAATGACTGTAGATGGATCACAATGGCTACAGATGGATCACAATGACTGTAGATGGATCTCAATGACTGTAGATGGATCACTGTAGATGGATCACAATGACTGTAGATGGATCTCAATGGCTACAGATGGATCACAATGGCTACAGATGGATCACAATGACTACAGATGGATCACAATGGCTGTAGATGGATCTCAATGACTGTAGATGGATCTCAATGGCTGTAGATGGATCACTGTAGATGGATCACAATGACTGTAGATGGATCTCAATGACTGTAGATGGATCACTGTAGATGGATCACAATGACTGTAGATGGATCTCAATGGCTGTAGATGGATCACTGTAGATGGATCACAATGACTGTAGATGGATCTCAATGACTGTAGATGGATCTCAATGGCTGTAGATGGATCACAATGACTGTAGATGGATCTCAATGGCTGTAGATGGATCACAATGGCTGTAGATGGATCACAATGACTGTAGATGGATCACTGTAGATGGATCACAATGACTGTAGATGGATCACAATGGCTGTAGATGGATCTCAATGACTGTAGATGGATCACAATGGCTGTAGATGGATCACAATGACTGTAGATGGATCTCAATGGCTGTAGATGGATCACTGTAGATGGATCACAATGGCTGTAGATGGATTACAATGACTGTAGATGGATCTCAATGACTGTAGATGGATCACAATGGCTGTAGATGGATCACAATGGCTGTAGATGGATCTCAATGACTGTAGATGGATCTCAATGGGTGTAGATGGATCTCAATGGCTGTAGATGGATCACTGTAGATGGATCTCAATGGCTGTAGATGGATCACAATCACTGTAGATGGATCTCAATGGCTGTAGATGGATCACAATGGCTGTAGATGGATCTCAATGGGTGTAGATGGATCTCAATGGCTGTAGATGGATCACTGTAGATGGATCACAATGGCTGTAGATGGATCTCAATGGCTGTAGATGGATCTCAATGACTGTAGATGGATCACAATGGCTGTAGATGGATCTCAATGACTGTAGATGGATCTCAATGACTGTAGATGGATCTCAATGGCTGTAGATGGATCACTGTAGATGGATCTCAATGGCTGTAGATGGATCACAATCACTGTAGATGGATCTCAATGGCTGTAGATGGATCACAATGGCTGTAGATGGATCACAATCACTGTAGATGTATCACAATGACTGTAGATGGATCTCAATGGCTGTAGATGGATCACAATGACTGTAGATGGATCTCAATGGATGTAGATGGATCTCAATGGCTGTAGATGGATCTCAATGGCTGTAGATGGATCTCAATGACTGTAGATGGATCTCAATGGATGTAGATGGATCTCAATGGCTGTAGATGGATCACAATGGCTGTAGATGGATCACAATGGATGTAGATGGATCTCAATGGCTGTAGATGGATCTCAATGACTGTAGATGGATCACAATGACTGTAGATGGATCTCAATGGCTACAGATGGATCACAATGGCTACAGATGGATCACAATGGCTGTAGATGGATCACTGTAGATGGATCACAATGACTGTAGATGGATCTCAATGGCTACAGATGGATCACAATGGCTACAGATGGATCACAATGGCTACAGATGGATCACAATGACTACAGATGGATCACAATGGCTGTAGATGGATCTCAATGACTGTAGATGGATCTCAATGGCTGTAGATGGATCACTGTAGATGGATCACAATGACTGTAGATGGATCTCAATGACTGTAGATGGATCACTGTAGATGGATCACAATGACTGTAGATGGATCTCAATGGCTGTAGATGGATCACTGTAGATGGATCACAATGACTGTAGATGGATCTCAATGACTGTAGATGGATCACAATGGCTGTAGATGGATCTCAATGGCTGTAGATGGATCACAATGACTGTAGATGGATCTCAATGGCTGTAGATGGATCACAATGGCTGTAGATGGATCACAATGACTGTAGATGGATCACTGTAGATGGATCACAATGACTGTAGATGGATCACAATGGCTGTAGATGGATCTCAATGACTGTAGATGGATCACAATGGCTGTAGATGGATCACAATGACTGTAGATGGATCTCAATGGCTGTAGATGGATCACTGTAGATGGATCACAATGGCTGTAGATGGATCACAATGACTGTAGATGGATCTCAATGACTGTAGATGGATCACAATGGCTGTAGATGGATCACAATGGCTGTAGATGGATCTCAATGGCTGTAGATGGATCTCAATGGCTGTAGATGGATCTCAATGACTGTAGATGGATCTCAATGGGTGTAGATGGATCTCAATGGCTGTAGATGGATCACTGTAGATGGATCTCAATGGCTGTAGATGGATCTCAATGGCTGTAGATGGATCTCAATGACTGTAGATGGATCACAATGGCTGTAGATGGATCTCAATTACTGTAGATGGATCTCAATGACTGTAGATGGATCTCAATGGCTGTAGATGGATCACTGTAGATGGATCTCAATGGCTGTAGATGGATCACAATCACTGTAGATGGATCTCAATGGCTGTAGATGGATCACAATGGCTGTAGATGGATCACAATCACTGTAGATGTATCACAATGACTGTAGATGGATCTCAATGGCTGTAGATGGATCACAATGACTGTAGATGGATCTCAATGGATGTAGATGGATCTCAATGGCTGTAGATGGATCTCAATGGCTGTAGATGGATCTCAATGACTGTAGATGGATCTCAATGGATGTAGATGGATCTCAATGGCTGTAGATGGATCACAATGGCTGTAGATGGATCACAATGGATGTAGATGGATCTCAATGGCTGTAGATGGATCTCAATGACTGTAGATGGATCACAATGGATGTAGATGGATCTCAATGGCTGTAGATGGATCACTGTAGATGGATCACTGTAGATGGATCTCAATGGCTGTAGATGGATCACAATGGCTGTGCATGGATTCCAGCGGGTCGTGGATGGGTCACAGAGAGGTCGTGGATGGGTCACAGAGAGGTCGTGGATGGGTCACAGAGAGGTCGTGGATGGGTCACAGAGAGGTCGTGGATGGGTCACAGAGAGGTCGTGGATGGGTCACAGAGAGGTCGTGGATGGGTCACAGAGAGGTCGTGGAAAGGTCACAGAGAGGTCGTGGAAGGGTCACAGAGAGGTCCTGGAAGGGTCACAGAGAGGTCGTGGATGGGTCACAGAGAGGCCGTGGATGGGTCACAGAGAGGTCGTGGATGGGTCACAGAGAGGTCGTGGATGGGTCACAGAGAGGTCGTGGATGGGTCACAGAGAGGTCGTGGAAGGGTCACAGAGAGGTCGTGGAAGGGTCACAGAGGTCGTGGAAGGGTCACAGAGAGGTCGTGGATGGGTCACAGAGGTCGTGGATGGGTCACAGAGAGGTCGTGGAAGGGTCACAGAGAGGTCGTGGAAGGGTCACAGAGAGGTCGTGGAAGGGTCACAGAGAGGTCGTGGAAGGGTCACAGAGAGGTCGTGGAAGGGTCACAGAGAGGTCGTGGAAGGGTCACAGAGAGGTCGTGGATGGGTCACAGAGAGGTCGTGGATGGGTCACAGAGAGGTCGTGGATGGGTCACAGAGAGGTCGTGGAAGGGTCACAGAGAGGTCGTGGAAGGGTCACAGAGAGGTCGTGGATGGGTCACAGAGAGGTCGTGGATGGGTCACAGAGAGGTCGTGGATGGGTCACAGAGAGGTCGTGGAAGGGTCACAGAGAGGTCGTGGAAGGGTCACAGAGAGGTCGTGGAAGGGTCACAGAGAGGTCGTGGAAGGGTCACAGCGGGCGGCAGCGTCGACGGGGCGGCCGGGTGCGGCGGGGTTGGCGGTGCCGGTGCCAGGTGTCACCCCCCCCCCCCCACCACCACCACCTCCTCGAATGGGGGGGGGGCATCACCCCCCACCCCCCCCCCCACTACCACCCACCACTGCCGTGTCCCTCACCAGCTGTTCCTGGAGGTGTGTGGCACTACCCTCGGCCTCCTGCAAGCGGGCCACAGCCTCGCGGTTTTGATGCCTCAGCTGGGCCAACTCCCGCCTCAGGAGGGACTGCTCCTCGTTCTCCTGGGCACGGCACACCTGGCCCTTGAGTGTGGGGGACGGTGGAGGAGGAGGTGGTGGCGGTGGCGGTGGTGGGAGGTGGTGGGAGGTGGTGGGAGGTGGTGGGAGGTGGTGGGAGGTGGGAGGAGGAGGTGGTGGGAGGTGGTGGGAGGAGTTGGTGGGAGGAGGAGGTGGGAGGAGATGGGAGGAGGTGGGAGGAGGAGGTGGGAGGAGGTGGTGGGAGGAAGAGGTGGGAGGAGGTGGTGGGAGGAAGAGGTGGGAGGAGATGGGAGGAGGTGGGAGGAGTGGGTGGGTAAGGAGGAGGAGGAGGAAAGAGGAAGGGAGAATTGAAAGAGGAACAGGGATCGTGACAGAGGGAGAATGTGGCCAGCGACTTGGCCTGACACAGCCGGCGACTTCTCTTGACACGACCGGCGACTTCGCTTGACACGACCAGCGACTTCTCTTGACACAGCCGGCGACTTCGCCTGACACGACCGGCGACTTCTCTTGACACGACCGGCGACTTCTCTTGACACGACCGGCGACTTCTCTTGACACGACCAGCGACTTCTCTTGACACGACCAGCGACTTCTCTTGACACGACCAGCGACTTGGCCTGACACGACCGGCGACTTCTCTTGACACGACCAGCGACTTCTCTTGACACGGCCAGCGACTTGGCCTGACACGACCGGCGACTTCTCTTGACACGACCAGCGACTTCTCTTGACACAACCGGCGACTTCTCTTGACACGACCGGCGACTTCTCTTGACACGACCAGCGACTTCTCTTGACACGACCGGCGACTTCTCTTGACACGACCAGCGACTTCTCTTGACACGACCGGCGACTTTGCTTGACACGACCAGCGACTTCTCTTGACACGACCGGCGACTTCTCTTGACACGACCAGCGACTTCTCTTGACACGACCGGCGACTTTGCTTGACACGACCAGCGACTTCTCTTGACACGACCGGCGACTTCGCTTGACACGACCAGCGACTTCTCTTGACACGACCGGCGACTTCTCTTGACACAGCCGGCGACTTCTCTTGACACGACCGGCGACTTCTCTTGACACGACCAGCGACTTCTCTTGACACGACCGGCGACTTCTCTTGACACGACCAGCGACTTCTCTTGACACGACCGGCGACTTTGCTTGACACGACCAGCGACTTCTCTTGACACGACCGGCGACTTCTCTTGACACGACCGGCGAGTTCTCTTGACACGACCGGCGACTTCGCTTGACACGACCGGCGACTTGGCCTGACACGACCAGCGACTTCTCTTGACACGACCGGCGACTTCTCTTGACACGACCAGCGACTTGGCCTGACACGACCAGCGACTTCTCTTGACACGACCGGCGACTTCTCTTGACACAGCCAGCGACTTCTCTTGACACGACCAGCGACTTCTCTTGACACGACCGGCGACTTCTCTTGACACAGCCAGCGACTTGGCCTGACACGACCAGCGACTTCGCTTGACACGGCACGGCGCACGAGGGAGTGGGTGGCCAGCAACCACGCGCGCCCGGCCGCCTTTGTCTCCACCAGTGGTCACAAAGACAAAGATCCCCCATATAGACTGTGACAGGCTGTCGGGGCAAGTGCTGTTAGCAGGGAGTAGAAGAAGCACCCTATTAAAGGCCGGCACTGTGGCACACGAGGGGGTGGGTGGACCGGTTCACATGTTGTTCGTCAGCGGCGTTGGCCGTGAGCGGGAATCGAACTCGGGCCGCCGGGTTCGTAGAGCAGCGTAGCGCTAACTGCTGCGCCACCACTCCCCACACACTCGCTGACTCAGTCGCTCACTCGCTCACCCACTCGCTCACTCACTCACTCGCTCGCTCGCTCACCCACTCGCTCACTCACCCACTCGCTCATTCACTCACTCACCCACTCGCTCACCCACTCGCTCACTCACTCACCCACTCGCTCGCTCACCCACTCGCTCACCCACTCGCTCATTCACTCACTCACCCACTTACCCACTCGCTCACCCACTCGCTCATTCACTCACTCACTCACCCACTCGCTCACTCACTCACCCACTCGCTCACTCACTCACCATGCTGATACGACACACAGGTGGGCCAGACCGAAATGCACACACAGACACACGGACACTCGGACATACAGACACACAGACACACAGACATACAGACACACAGACATACAGATACACAGACAGACAGACAGACACACAGACATACAGACACACACAGACATACAGACACACAGACACACACAGACACAGGGACAGACAGACACACACAGACATACAGACACACAGACACACACAGACATACAGACACACACAGACATACAGACACACACAGACATACAGACACACACAGACATACAGACATACACACAGACATACAGACACATACAGACAGACAGACACACAGACATACAGACACACACAGACATACAGACACACACAGACACAGACATACACACACACACAGACACACACAGACATACAGACACACACAGACACAGGGACAGACAGACACACAGACATAGACACACACAGACACACACAGACACAGGGACAAACAGACACACACAGACATACAGACACACAGACACAGACAGACACAGGGACAGACAAACAACCCCCACCCGTAACGAGGACTCAAACTTGCAACATTTCCGACCGCGGGCAACCGTCAGGCCGGCCGACCCTCATGAATATTCACGAGGCGGTCAGGGGCGGGGCGTTGACGCGACGTTGTGCTGTACCGCGGTGGGTCCGCGCGTTCCCTACCTGCACGAGTTTGTCTACCAGGGCTGTGGCCTCCTGGTGTGCGGTCGGCAGAGAAAGCGCGCGGGAGGGTGAGCAGTGAGAGAGCGAGCGAGCGAGCGATTGAGCGATCGAGTGAGCGATTGATTTAGCGATCGAGTGAGCGATTGATTGAGTGAGTGAGCGAGCGAGCCAATGAATGAGCGATCGAGTGAGCGATCAAGTGAGCGATTGAGCGAGCGAGAGATCGAGTGAGCGGGTGAGCAAGTGAGGGAGCGAGTGATCGATCGAGTGAGCGATTGAGTGAGCGAGCGAGCGAACCAATGAATGAGCGATCGAGTGAGCGATCAAGTGAGCGATTGATTGAGTGAGCGAGCGAGCGAGCCGATGAATGAGCGATCGAGTGAGCGATCAAGTGAGCGATTGAGCGAGCGAGAGATCGAGTGAGCGGGTGAGCGAACCAATGAATGAGCGATCGAGTGAGCGATCAAGTGAGCGATTGAGCGAGTGAGTGAGCGAACGAGCCAATGAATGATCGATCGAGTGAGCGAGCAAGTGAGCGATTGAGCGAGCGAGAGATCGAGTGAGCGGGTGAGCAAGCGAGGGAGCGAGTGATCGATCGAGTGGGCGATCAAGTGAGCGATTGATTGAGTGAGCGAGTGAGCGAGCGAGCCGATGAATGATCGATCGAGTGAGCGATCAAGTGAGCGATTGAGTGAGTGAGCGAGCGAGCCGATGAATGAGCGATCGATTGAGCGATCAAGTGAGCGATTGAGTGAGTGAGCGAGCCAATGAATGATCGATCGAGTGAGCGATCAAGTGAGCGATTGATTGAGTGAGTGAGCGAGCCAATGAATGATCGATCGAGTGAGCGATCAAGTGAGCGATTGATTGAGCGAGCGAGCGAGCCAATGAATGATCGATCGATTGAGCGATCAAGTAAGCGATTATATGAGCGGGCGATCGAGTGAGCAGGTGTGCAAGTGCGGGAACAGGTGAACAGTGAATGAGTGAGCGATCGAGTGAGCAGGTGTGCAAGTGCGGGAACAGGTGAACAGTGAATGAGCGAGCGATCGAGTGAGCGATGGAGTGAGCGAGCGAGGTGAACGAGTGAACAGTGAATGAGTGACCGAGTGAGCGAGCAATCGATTGAGCGAACGAGCGAGGGGGCGAGCGATCGATCGAGTAAGCGGCAGGCAGCAGCAGCAGCAGGGGAAAGGAACGGAGGGAGAGAAGAGGAGAGAGCTTCGTGAGCAGAGACGCGGCCAATCACACGGCACGGTCGCAGATCGAGAGAAGGCAACACCAAGAAACAGTCAAAGAGTCGCTCCAGCGATGTCCGCTTTCCGTGGCATCGCACTCTTGACGCACGGGAAGGGTCGCTCCGTCATTATTTATTCACTTAGCTGGTTCGCCCAGGAACGCCCCACCGAGTCTCGAGGGACTATTTCATGAGGGTCCTGGCCAGGCGTTCGCGGTAGGGTGGCGGTGAATCTATTCCAAGCTTCTATTGACAAGTTCAAACTTCTGTTTGGCACATGGCACTGCCTCTTTAGGACCCCGCCACCTTCCTGTCCAGGGCCCTGCCCCTTCCTCTTGAGGCCGGGCCCCCTCTCATCCAGGCCACACCCCTTCCTCTTTAGGACACGCTCCCTTCCACTCTCCAGGCCACGCCACTTCCTCTTTAGGTCCACACCCTTTCCTCTTTAGACCCCGCCCCTTCCTACCCAGACCCCGCCACTTCCTCTTTAGTTCACGCCCCCTCTCATCTAGGCCACGCCCCTTCCTCTTTAGGCCCTGGCCATTCTGAATGAGGCTGCTCAGCTTCCCTGCGCTCTATAGGCCCTGCCCGGCCACCTTTGTCTCCCCAGTCATGAAGTGTACAGCACACCGCACCCAGGTACTTCAGCTACCCTACCCGCGACCTTACCCGCGACCCTACCCGCGACCCTACCCGCGACCCTACCCGCGACCCTACCCAGGACCCTACCCGCGACCCTACCAGCGACCCTACCAGTGACCCTACCGGCGACCCTACCGGCGACCCTACCGGCGACCCTACCGGCGACCCTACCGGCGACCCTACCGGCGACCCTACCGGCGACCCTACCGGCGACCCTACCCGCGACCCTACCCAGGACCCTACCGGCGACCCTACCGGCGACCCTACCAGCGACCCTACCCGCGACCCTACCCAGGACCCTACCCGCGACCCTACCAGCGACCCTACCGGCGACCCTACCGGCGACCCTACCGGCGACCCTACCGGCGACCCTACCGGCGACCCTACCCGCGACCCTACCGGCGACCCTACCGGCGACCCTACCCGCGACCCTACCCGCGACCCTACCCAGGACCCTACCGGCGACCCTACCGGCGACCCTACCAGCGACCCTACCCGCGACCCTACCCAGGACCCTACCCGCGACCCTACCACCGACCCTACCGGCGACCCTACCCACAACCCTACTGGCGACCCTACCCACGACCCTACCAGCGACCCTACCCGCGACCCTACGGTGGTAATGGGTGCCCCCTCATTGCTGGCGCCTTGCCCAGAGCCACGGTGGCCAGCGTGGTGAAACATGGCGGGGGGAGCTGCTCACCTTCTCCAGGTTCTCCACCCTCTGTCGGAGGAGACGGTTTTCTGTCCGGAGACGCTGGAGACACGGGAGGCAGAGAGACGGGACAGGGAGCCGGACAGGGAGACAGAGAGACGGAGAGACAGACAGAGAGACAGACAGGGAGACGGACAGAGAGACAGACAGGGAGACAGGGAGACAGAGAGACAGAGAGATGGACAGGGAGACAGAGAGACAGACAGAGAGACAGACAGGGAGACAGGGAGACAGAGAGACGGAGAGACAGACAGAGAGACAGACAGAGAGACAGAGAGACGGGACAGGGAGCCGGACAGGGAGACAGAGAGACAGAGAGATGGAGAGACAGACAGAGAGACAGACAGGGAGACGGACAGAGAGACAGACAGGGAGACAGGGAGACAGAGAGACAGAGAGATGGACAGGGAGACAGAGAGACAGACAGAGAGACAGACAGGGAGACAGGGAGACAGAGAGACGGAGAGACAGACAGAGAGACAGACAGAGAGACAGAGAGACGGACAGGGAGACAGAGAGACAGAGAGATGGACAGGGAGACAGAGAGACAGAGAGACAGATAGAGAGACAGACAGAGAGACAGAGAGACAGACAGAGAGACAGAGAGATGGACATGGAGACAGAGAGACAGACAGAGAGACAGAGAGACAGACAGGGAGACAGACAGGGAGACAGGGAGACAGGGAGACAGAGAGACAGAGAGACGGACAGGGAGACAGAGAGACAGACATTACAGAGAGACAACATTTGCACACACAGTCGGGAATCGAACCCAGGACCAGCTGCTGCCACCCGCACCACCGGTAGGCACTGTACAGCCCTGCCACCGTGCCAGCCTGCCACCTGTACCCCCTGTGGGCACCGTCCCACACTGCCACCCTGCCACCTGTGGGCACCGTGCAGCCCTGCCACCCTGCCACCCTGCCACCCATACCCTCGGTGGGCACCGTGCCAGCCTGCCACCCTGCCAGCCTGCCACCCATACCCTCGGTGGGCACCGTGCCAGCCTGCCACCTGCACCACCGGTGGGCACCGTCCCACACTGCCACCCTGCCACCTGTGGTCACCGTACCACCCTGCCACCCGTACCCCCAGTGGGCACCGTGCAGCCCTGCCACCCTGCCAGCCTGCCACTGTGCCACCCGTACCCTCGGTGGGCACCGTGCCAGCCTGCCACCTGCACCACCGGTGGGCACCCTGCCACCCTGCCACCTGTACCCCCTGGGGCACCGTGCCACCCTGCCACCCTGCCAGCCTGCCACCTGCACCACCGGTGGGCACCCTGCCAGCCTGCCACCTGCACCACCGGTGGGCACCGTGCCAGCCGGCCACAAGGCTGAGTCTTTACCTTCATCTCCACCTGCTCCTGGATCTCCTTGCTGCGCTGTGTGTTGTACTCCCTCTCCAGCCTGCGTGGCAGACAGACAAAGGCAAAGGTCCCCCGTGTAGCCTCCAGCATGCCGTAAGGGGCAAGTGCTGTTAGTAGCGAACGGCAGCAGCAGCGGCGGCGGCACCCTATGAAGGCTACCGGCACTGTGGCACACGAGGGGGTGGATGGTGAGCGAGCGGCGAGCGAGTCACGAGCAAGTGGTGAGTGAGCGGTGAGCAAGCGGTGAGCGAGCAGTGAGTGAGCGGTGAGCGAGCGGTGAGTGAGTGAGTGGCGACCGAGCGGTAAGCAAGTCGCGACCAAGCGCTGAGCGAGCGGTGAGGGAGCGGTGAGGGAGCGGTGAGTGAGCGGTGAGTGAGCGGTGAGTGAGTGGTGAGTGAGTGGTGAGTGAGTGGTGAGTGAGTGGTGAGCGAGCGGTGAGTGAGTGGTGAGTGAGTGGTGAGCGAGCGGTGAGTGAGTGGTGAGTGAGTGGTGAGTGAGCGGTGAGTGGTGAGTGAGTGGTGAGTGAGTGGTGAGCGAGCGGTGAGTGGTGAGTGAGTGGTGAGTGAGTGGTGAGCGAGCGGTGAGTGGTGAGTGAGTGGTGAGTGAGTGGTGAGTGAGTGGTGAGCGAGCGGTGAGTGGTGAGTGGGTGGTGAGTGAGTGGTGAGTGAGTGGTGAGCGAGCGGTGAGTGGTGAGTGAGTGGTGAGTGAGTGGTGAGTGAGTGGTGAGCGAGCGGTGAGTGGTGAGTGGGTGGTGAGTGAGTGGTGAGTGAGTGGTGAGCGAGCGGTGAGTGGTGAGTGAGTGGTGAGTGAGTGGTGAGTGAGTGGTGAGTGAGTGGTGAGCGAGCGGTGAGTGGTGAGTGAGTGGTGAGTGAGTGGTGAGTGAGTGAGTGAGTGGTGAGTGAGTGAGTGGTGCGTGAGTGGTGAGTGAGTGGTGAGTGAGTGGTGAGTGAGTTGTGAGTGAGTGAGTGGTGCGTGAGTGGTGAGTGAGTGGTGAGTGAGTGGTGAGTGAGTGAGTGGTGAGTGAGTGGTGAGTGAGTGGTGAGTGAGTGAGTGGTGCGTGAGTGGTGAGTGAGTGGTGAGTGAGTGGTGAGTGAGCGGTGAGTGAGTGGTGAGTGAGTGGTGAGTGAGTGGTGAGTGAGTGAGTGGTGAGTGAGTGTTGAGTGAGTGGTGAGTGAGTGGTGAGCGAGCGGTGAGTGAGTGGTGAGCGAGTCGCGAGTGAGTGAGTGGTGAGTGAGTGGTGAGTGAGTGGTGAGTGAGTGGTGAGCGAGTGGTGAGTGAGTGGTGAGCGAGCGACTCACTTGCGCATCTTCTTGGCATTGTACTTGACCTGGAAGGCCTGTGTCATCAGACGCTCGGGGCAGCTGTCAAACATGTGGGGGATGGCCTTTTGGAAATGCTGCGGGGGTCACGGGTTCACAAAGACACGATGTCACATAGACATGGGGTCAAGGGGTCACGGAGTCATGGGGTCAAGGGGTCATGGAGACCCAGGAGCATGGGGTCACAAATATACAGGGTCACGGGGCACAGGGTCACAGTGTCACGGGTAACATGGTCACAGACACACAGGGTCACGGGTCAAAGGGTCACGGGTCACATGGTCACGGGTCACAGGGTCACAGACACAGTGTCACGGGTCACAGGGTCACGGGTCAGAGGGTCACGTGTCACATGGTCACAGACACACAGGGTCATGGGTCACAGGGTCACGGGTCACATGATCACAGACACACAGGGTCACGGGTCACAGGGTGACGGGTCACAGGGTCACGGGTCACAGGGTCACAGGCACACAGGGTCACAGGGTCACGGGTCACATGGTCACAGACACACAGGGTCACAGACACACAGGGTCATGGGTCACAGGGTCACGCATCACAGGGTCACAGGTCACATGGTCACAGACACACAGGGTCACGGGCCACAGGGTCACGGGTCACAGGGTCATGGGTCACATGGTCACAGACACACAGGGTCACAGAGACCCGGGGTCATGAGGTCACCGACACGCATGGATCACGGAGTCACAGGGGACTCTGCCGTGTGAGCCTATGGGTCTCTGTGTGAGTCTATGGGTCTCTGCTGTGTTAGTCTATGGGTCTGTGTGAGTCTATGGGTCTCTATATGAGTCTACGGGTCTATGCTGTGTGAGTCTATGGGTCTCTATGTGAGTCTATGGGTGTCTGTGTGAGTCTATGGGTTTCTGCTGTGTTAGTCTATGGGTCTCTATGTGAGTCTATGGGTCTCTGTGTGAGTCTATGGGTCTCTGTTTGAGTGAGTCTATGGGTCTCTATGCAAGTCTATGGGTCTCTGTGCGAGTCTATTGGTCTCTATGTGCGTCTATGGGTCTCTGTGTGAGTTTATGGGTCTCTGTGTGAGTCTATGGGTCTCTGTGTGAGTCTATGGGTCTCTATGTGAGTCTATGGGTCTCTAAATGAGTCTACGGGTCTATGCTGTGTGAGTCTATGGGTCTCTATGTGAGTCTATGGGTCTCTGTGTGAGTCTATGGGTCTCTGCTGTGTTAGTCTATGGGTCTCTATGTGAGTCTATGGGTCTCTGTGTGAATCTATGGGTCTCTGTGTGAGTCTACGGGTCTCTATGTGAGTCTACGGGTATCTATTGGAGTCTATGGGTCACTGTGTGAGTCTATGGGTCTCTGTGTGAGCCTATGGGTCTCTGTGTGAGCCTATGGGTCTCTGTGTGAGTCTATGCGTCTCTGTGTGAGTCTATGGGTCTCTGTGTGAGTCTATGGGTCTCTGTGTGAGTCTATGGGTCTCTGCTGTGTTAGTCTATCGGTCTCTGTGTGAGTCTATGGGTCTCTATGTGAGTCTATGGGTCTCTTTGTGACGAGTCTACGGGACTCTGTGTGATGAGTCTATGGGTCTCTGTGTGATGAGTCTACGGGTCTCTGTGTGGCGAGTCTACGGGTCTCTGAGTTACGATTCTACGGGACTCTGTGTGATGAGTCTATGGGTTTCTGTGTGATGAGTCTACGGGTCTCTGTGTGATGAGTCTACGGGTCTCTGTGTGGCGAGTCTACGGGTCTCTGTGTGGCGAGTCTACGGGTCTCTGAGTTACGATTCTACGGGACTCTGTGTGATGAGTCTATGGGTTTATGTGTGATGAGTCTACGGGTCTCTGTGTGACGAGTCTATGGGTCTCTGTGTGGCGAGTCTACCGGTCTCTGTGTGATGAGTCTATGGGTCTCTGTGTGACGAGTCTACGGCTCTCTGTGTGACGAGTCTACGGGTCTCTGTGTGATGAGTCTACGGGTCTCTGTGTGACGAGTCTACGGGTCTCTGTGTGACGAGTCTACGGGTCTCTGTGTGACGAGTCTACGGGTCTCTGTGTGATGAGTCTACGGGTCTCTGTGTGATGAGTCTATGGGTCTCTGTGTGACGAGTCTACGGGTCTCTGTGTGATGAGTCTACGGGTCTCTGAGTTACGATTCTACGGGTCTCTGTGTGACGAGTCTACGGGTCTCTGTGTGGCGAGTCTACGGGTCTCTGTGTGACGAGTCTACGGGTCTCTGTGTGATGAGTCTACGGGTCTCTGTGTGATGAGTCTACGGGTCTCTGTGTGGCGAGTCTACGGGTCTCTGTGTGGCGAGTCTACGGGTCTCTGTGTGATGAGTCTACGGGTCTCTGTGTGATGAGTCTATGAGTCTCTGTGTGGCGAGTCTACGGGTCTCTGTGTGGCGAGTCTACGGGTCTCTGTGTGGTGAGTCTACGTGTCTCTGTGTGATGAGTCTATGGGTCTCTGTGTGGCGAGTCTACGTGTCTCTGTGTGATGACTCTACGGGTCTCTGTGTGACGAGTCTACGGGTCTCTGTGTGGCGAGTCTACGGGTCTCTGTGTGGCGAGTCTATGGGTCTCTGTGTGGCGAGTCTACGGGTCTCTGTGTGAGTGCGTCATGGGGAGGGAGTTGGCTGTGGAGTGGGACCTGCAGCATGCCCTCCATGTCCTGCTGCATCAGCTCGGCCTGGTTGCTCTGCAGGATGGCCAAACCAACGCGGAACACCACCTCCAAGCCCTGGCGAGCACCCGGCAGCAGTAGCAGCAGTAGCAGCAGCAGTAGTAGCAGTAGTAGTAGTAGCAGCAGTAGTAGCAGTAGTAATAGCAGTAGCACCAGTGGTAGTAGCAGCAGTAGTAGCAGTAGTAATAGCAGTAGCACCAGTGGTAGTAGCAGCAGTAGTAGCAGTCGTAGCAGTAGCAGCAGCAGCACCAGTGGTAGTAGCAGTAGTAATAGCAGTAGCACCAGTGGTAGTAGCAGCAGTAGCAGCAGTAGTAGTAGTAGCAACAGTAGTAGCAGTAGTAGCAGTGGTAGTAGCAGTAGTAATAGCAGTAGTAATAGCAGTAGCAGCAGTAGCAGCAGCACCAGTGGTAGTAGCATCAGCAGTAGTAGTAGTAACAGTAGTCGCAGTAGCAATAGCAGCATCACCAATGGTAGTAGCAGTAGTAGCAGTAGCAGCAGCAGCACCAGTAGTAGTAGCAGCAGTAGTAGCATTAGTAGTAGCAGTAGCAGCAGTACCAGCAGCACCAATGGTATTAGCAGCAGTAGTAGCAGTAGTAGTAGCAGCAGTAGTAGCAGAAGTAGCAGCAGTAGTAGCAGCAGCACCATTGGTAGTAGTAGTAGTAGTAGCAGCAGTAGTAGCAGCAGCAGTAGTAGTAGCAGTAGCAGTAGTAGAAGTAGCAGCAGTAGTAGCAGCAGTAGCAGCAGCAGTAGCAGCAGCAGTAGTAGTAGCAGTAGCAGCAGTAATAGCAGCAGCAGCAGTAGTAGCAGTAGTAGTAGCAGCAGCAGTAGCAGCAGTAGCAGCAGCAATATTAGCAGCAGTAGTAGTAGCAGCAGTAGTAGTAGCAGCAGTAGTAGTAGCAGTAGTAGCAGCAGCAGTAGTAGCAGCAGTAGTAGTAGCAGCAGTAGCAGTAGTAGCAACAGCAGTAGTAGCAGCAGTAGCAGCAGCAGTATCAGCAAGTAGTAGTAGCAGTAGTAATAGCAGCAGTAGTAGCAGCAGCAGTAGTAGTAGTAGCAGTAGTAGCAGCAGCAGTAGTAGTAGCAGTAGCAGCAGTAGTAGTAGCAGTAGCAGCAGCAGTAGTAGTAGCAGTAGCAGCAGCAGTAGAAGTATAGCAGAAGTAGTAACAGGAGCAGTAGCAGCAGTAGTAGCAGTAGTAGCAGCAGTAGTAGTAGCAGTAGTAGCAGCAGCAGTAGTAGTGGTAGCAGTAGTAGCAGCAGTAGTAGTAGCAGTAGCAGCAGTAGAAGTATAGCAGAAGTAGTAACAGGAGCAGTAGCAGCAGTAGCAGCAGCAGTAGCAGCAGCAGTAGTAGTAGCAGCAGTAGTAGTAGTAGCAGCAGTGGCAGCAGCAGTAGCAGCAGTAACAGCAGCAGTAGCAGCAGTAGTAGTAGCAGCAGTAGTAGCAGTAGTAGCAGTGGCAGCAGCAGTAGCAGCAGCAGCAGCAGAGACATCATCATTATCATCATCATCACCACCACAACTACCACCACCACCAACACAATCACCAGTATCACCACCATCATCAGAACCATCACCACCACCATCACCACCATCATCAAAACCAATCACCACCACCATCGCCACCATCGCCACCATCATCAAAACCATCACCACCACCATCACCACCATCATCAAAACCATCACCACCACAATCACCAGTATCACCAGTACAATCACCACCACCATCATCATCAGAACCATCACCAGTATCACCACCACAATCACCACCACCACCATCATCAAAACCATCACCACCATCACCACAATCACCAGTATCACCACCACAATCACCACCACCATCATCAAAACCATCACCACCACCACCACCACCACAACAACCACCACAATCAAAACCACCGCCGTCACCTCTGCGACGAAGACGTCGAAGATGCGCGTCGCGACGGGCAGCGGGAAGGTGGTGAGGAAGATGGTGAGGAACCAGGAGGAGGCGTACATGGTGGTGTGGAAACTCTGCGCCTGGAAGTGCGTGTACAGGTCGGGCAGGCTTTCCTGTCGACGGCAAAAACGGCAAAACTCTGTGTCATCCACGCGCAAAACTCGCGCTTAGCGTGCGGGGGATCTATGTCATCTACGGTAAAACTCGCGCTTAGTGGATGATCTATGTCATCCACGGCAAAACTCCCGCTTAGCGCGCTGGTGATCTATGTCATCCACGGCAAACATCGCGCTTAGCACGCTGGGGATCTATGTCATCCACGCACAAAACTCGCGCTTAGCACGCTGGTGATCTATATCATCCACGCACAAAACTCGCGCTTAGCACGCTGGGGATCTATGTCATCCACGCACAAAACTCGCGCTTAGCACGCTGGGGATCTATGTCATCCACGCACAAAACTCGCGCTTAGCGCGCTGGGGATCTATGTCATCTACGGTAAAACTCGCGCTTAGCGCGCTGGGGATCTATGTCATCCACGGCAAAACTCCCGCTTAGCGCGCTGGGGATCTATGTCATCTACGGTAAAACTCGCGCTTAGCGCGCTGGGGATCTATGTCATCCACGGCAAAACTCCCGCTTAGCGCGCTGGGGATCTATGTCATCTACGGTAAAACTCGCGCTTAGCGCGCTGGGGATCTATGTCATCCACGAACAAAACTCCCGCTTAGCGCGCTGGGGATCTATGTCATCCACGCACAAAAACTCGCGCTTAGCACGCTGGGGATCTATGTCATCCACAGCAAAACTCCCGCTTAGCGCGCTGGGGATCTATGTCATCCACGCACAAAACTCGCGCTTAGCACGCTGGGGATCTATGTCATCTACGGTAAAACTCGCGCTTAGCGCGCTGGGGATCTATGTCATCCACGGCAAAACTCCCGCTTAGCGCGCTGGGGATCTATGTCATCTACGGTAAAACTCGCGCTTAGCGCGCTGGGGATCTATGTCATCCATGGCAAAACTCCCGCTTAGCGCGCTGGGGATCTATGTCATCTACGGTAAAACTCGCGCTTAGCGCGCTGGGGATCTATGTCATCCACGAACAAAACTCCCGCTTAGCGCGCTGGGGATCTATGTCATCCACGCACAAAACTCGCGCTTAGCACGCTGGGGATCTATGTCATCCACAGCAAAACTCCCGCTTAGCGCGCTGGGGATCTATGTCATCCACGCACAAAACTCGCGCTTAGCACGCTGGGGATCTATGTCATCCACGCACAAAACTCGCGCTTAGCACGCTGGGGATCTATGTCATCCACGGCAAAACTCCCGCTTAGCACGCTGGGGATCTATGTCATCCACAGCAAAACTCGCGCTTAGCGCGCTGGGGATCTATGTCATCCACGGCAAAACTCCCGCTTAGCACGCTGGGGATCTATGTCATCCACGGTAAAACTCGCGCTTAGCGCGCTGGGGATCTATGTCATCCACAGCAAAACTCGCGCTTAGCGCGCTGGGGATCTATGTCATCCACGGCAAAACTCCCGCTTAGCACGCTGGGGATCTATGTCATCCACGGTAAAACTCGCGCTTAGCGCGCTGGGGATCTATGTCATCCACAGCAAAACTCGCGCTTAGCGCGCTGGGGATCTATGTCATCCACGCGCAAAACTCGCGCTTAGCGCGCTGGGGATCTATGTCATCCACGCGCAAGACTCGCGCTTAGCACGCTGGTGATCTATGTCATCCACGGTAAAACTCGCGCTTAGCACGCTGGGGATCTATGTCATCCACGGCAAAACTCGCGCTTAGCACGCTGGGGATCTATGTCATCCACGCGCAAAACTCGCGCTTAGCACGCTGGGGATCTATGTCATCTACGGTAAAACTCCCGCTTAGCGCGCGGGGGATCTATGTCATCCACGCGCAAAACTCGCGCTTAGCACGCTGGGGATCTATGTCATCCACGGCAAAACTCGCGCTTAGCACGCTGGGGATCTATGTCATCCACGGTAAAACTCCCGCTTAGTGCGCGGGGGATCTATGTCATCCACGGCAAAACTCCCGCTTAGCGCGCTGGTGATCTATGTCATCCACACGCAAAACTCCTGCTTAGCGTGCGGGGGATCTATGTCATCCACGGCAAAACTCCCGCTTAGTGCGCGGGGGATCTATGTCATCCACGGCAAAACTCCCGCTTAGCGCGCTGGTGATGTATGTCATCCACGGCAAAACTCGCGCTTAGCGCGCGGGGGTTCTATGTCATCCACGGCAAAACTCGCGCTTAGCGCGGGGATCTATGTCATCCACGACAAAACTCCCGCTTAGCACGCTGGGGATCTATGTCATCCACAGCAAAACTCGCGCTTAGCACGCTGGGGATCTATGTCATCCACGGCAAAACTCGCGCTTAGCGCGCGGGGATCTATGTCATCCACGGCAAAACTCCCGCTTAGCACGCTGGGGATCTATGTCATCCACAGCAAAACTCGCGCTTAGCGCGCTGGGGATCTATGTCATCCACGGTAAAACTCGCGCTTAGCGCGCGGGGGATCTATGTCATCCACGGTAAAACTCGCGCTTAGCGCGCTGGTGATCAATGTCATCCACGCACAAAACTCGCGCTTAGCGCGCGGGTGATCTATGTCATCCACGGCAAAACTCGCGCTTAGCGCGCGAGAAGGATCTATGTCATCCACGGTAAAACTCGCGCTTAGCATGCGGGGGATCTATGTCGTCCACGGTAAAACTCCCGCTTAGTAAGCGGGTGTTCTATGTCATCCATGCACAAAACTCGCACTTAGCATGCGGGGGATCTATGTCATCCACGGTAAAACTCGCGCTAAGCGCGCTGGGGATCTATGTCATCCACGGCAAAACTCGCGCTTAGCGCGCTGGGGATCTATGTCATCCACGGCAAAACTCGCGCTTAGCGCGCTGGGGATCTATGTCATCCACGGCAACACTCCCGCTTAGCGCGCGAGAAGGATCTATGTCATCCACGGCAAAACTCGCGCTTAGCGCGCGAGAGATCTATGTCATCCACGGCAAAACTCCCGCTTAGGGAGCGTTTGCCGTCGGGGGTTTAAATCGCGTCGAGTTTATTAAAACGCAGGAAGCCGCCAGCGGCCGGCGCGGGCAATGATCGAGGTTTCGCGTCGCGCGTGGCGATTTGGACGCGCACCGTTGATGCGACGCCCGGTACCAGATTATGGTAGCGGCAACAAGCAGCTACCATACCATACAAATAATAAATAAAAAAATAAAAACCAATAAAATAATACAAAATGTCATTTCATCATATTTTTAGTACTTTATAATATTTTGTATTATTTCATTGGTTCCCTTCTACGTGGTGGTGACTTTACCGAAGGCAACAAGATTATGAATCCCTGCAGTCACGAAAGCTTTCAATCGAAATTTAAGCAGAACGTGTTGTCCGTATTTATTCATAAAGTTGCGCAATTTTGACGTGACGTCACATTTCTCAACCCCCTCCCCCCACATCGTCACACATGTCTGACCCCCCCCGCCCCGCCCCCCAGGTCCGTGACGTCATTTATTAACGGCCCCTTTGACGTGTGCCACGGGCCCGGCTCGGCTCGCACCTGGTGTACGACATAAATATTACGTGCGCGTTAACAAAACAAAAAATTGATGTTCATAAGTGTTGCTTCGCATTCTTAGGCTCTTTCGGTAAAGTCACGTTGAAGGGAAACAATAAAATAATTTTAAAAAATATATATAAAACAATAAAAAAATTCTCACGGCGTTTCGACCGTAGCACAAACGGTCGTCATCAGGTGTGTCGGTTCGCATTAATTAATTTATTTGTCTACGGTGTATTTATTTAGTTATTAAAAAAATGTCAGCGCCACGCGCAGCGATTTGTCAGTTTATTTAGAAGGACTAGTCCATCTATGTTCTGAAAAGAGGAGGGGGGAGACGAAAAATTAATGCATGCTGTCTGAAAGCCACCGTAAGCGTGAACAATCAATTAAGACCCGACATGGTTTATCAAATCTTTCCAATGATTGCTAAGCCAGCATCCATCTTCTCGGTTGAAATTGTCTCTGTGCTTGTATATGTGGATAGCCTCGTGAACGAATCTCTCATGGTAGCCAGATGGCTTACAAAGAACCTCTGTAAATTTCAACCGAGAAGATGGATTCTGGCTTAGCAATCATTGGAAAGATTTGATAAACCATTTCAGGTCTTAATTGATTGTTCACGCTTACGGTGGCTTTCAGACGGCATACATTAATTTTTCGTCTCCCCCCTCTTTTCAGAACATAGATGGACTAGTCCTTCTAAACAAACTGCAAAATCGCTGCGCGTGGCGCTAACGGTTTTTTATAAATGAATAAATACACCGTTTAAAAATAAATAACTTAATGCAAACCGACACACCTGATGACGACCGTTTGTGTTACGGTCCAAACGTCGTGAGATTTTTTTTTTATTGTTTTATATATATATTTTTAAATTATTTTATTGTTTCCCTTCAACGTGACTTCACCGAAAGAGCCTAAGAATACGAATTTACTTGCAGTCACGAAAGCTCTAAATCAAAAAGTGTCGGTTCGTTTGCCGTCGCCGCAGAAGTGGTCGCCCCACCTGTATCATGCACTCAAACTGGTAGATGCAGAGGCCCAGCTCGGCCATGCTGGGTTTAAAGAGCTCACGGAGGCGGTACTCTTGCATGAGGCGAACGAACACGCAGAAGGCGTCCTCCTCCGGCATCTGCGTTTGCAGTCGGGCAAGGGCGGGCGGGAAGTGACGTCATCAATCGCGCGCGGAGGGGGGCGGGCGGGCGGGCGGGCAGGAAGTGATGTCATCAGTCGCGCGAGGGGAGCGCGGTGGGGTGGGGGGGGCAGGAAGTGACTTCGTCGATGGCGCGCGGGGCGGGAGGGGAGCGGGCAGGAAGTGATGTCATCAATTGCGCGAGGGGAGCGCGGTGGGGGGGGGGGGGGCAGGAAGTGACTTCGTCGATCGTACGCGGGACGGGAGGGGGGGGGGGGCGGGCAGGAAGTGATGTCATCAATCGCGCGAGGGGAGCGCGGTGGTGGAGGAGGGGGGCAGGAAGTGACGTTGTCAATCGCGCGCGGGACGGGAGGGGGGTGGACAAGCGGGCAGGAAGTGATGTCATCAATCGCGCGCGGAGGGGACGAGCGGCAGGAAGTGATGTCATCAGTCGCGCGAGGGGAGCGCGGCGGTGGTGGTGGGGGGGGGGGGGGGGGGGGGGGGCGGGCAGGAAGTGACGTCATGAATCGCGCGTGAGGGGCGCGCGGAGCAGGAAGTGACGTCGTAAACCGCGCGTGAGGGAGCGGTGCCGCAAGCGGCTTCAAGGAAAGGCTTCAAAAAAAAAAAGAGAACAGAAAGAGATCAGACGCAAGGCTGCGGCGTCTGCCGAAGTGACACCGGCCACTGGCCACCTGCCACCGGCCACCGGCCAGCGCCCCCACCAAGGCCGCCTCCCGCCCCGACCCGGCGCGACCGCTTCAGAGCCTCACCTGCATGAGCAGGAGGCCCACGATGAAGGCGCTGCCCTGGCAGTAGCCCACCTCGGGGTCCACCAGGGAGTAGGCCTGCACGCAATGCGTGGAGAAAAGGACGACGACAATGGGTGGAGAAAGGACGACAATGGGTGGAGAAAGGACGACGACAATGGGTGTAGAAAGGACGACAATGGGTGGAGAAAGGACGACGACAATGGGTGTAGAAAGGACGACAATGGGTGGAGAAAGGACGACAATGGGTGGAGAAAGGACGACGACAATGGGTGGAGAAAGGACGACAATGGGTGGAGAAAGGACGACAATGGGTGGAGAAAGGACAAAGGAGCTCCCCCCTCTCGTAGCCTTGGAGCAAGTGTTGTTAGCACGAGCAGCAGGCAGTGCCGATGAAGGCCGACTCACTCACTCACTCACCCACTAACTCACCCACCTACCCACCCGCTCACCCACCCACTCACCCACTCACTCACCCACTCACTCACCCACCTACCCACCCGCTCACCCACCCACTCACCCACTCACTCACCCACTCACTCACCCACCTACCCACCCGCTCACCCACCCACTCACCCACTCACTCACCCACACACCCGCTCACCCACCCACTCACCCGCTCGCTCACCCACCCGCTCGCTCACCCACCCGCTCGCTCACCCACCCGCTCGCTCAACCACCCACTCACCCGCTTGCTCACCCACCCGCTCGCTCGCTCACCCACTCACCCACCCACTCACCCACTCACCCACTCACCCACTCACCCACCCACCCACACCCACCCTCACCCACCCACCCACCCACACCCACCCCCTCACCTTCATGACATTGAACAGCACCTCCTGTCCCATGCTGTCCTTCTCCCGGAAGAGCTCATGCTCGGGATATGTGCGGGCGATGTCCCTGCGGATGAGGCGCTGGCAAGGCGACGTCAGCTTCAGCAGCTCCGAGTATTGTCGCTTCACCGGCACGTTCTGGGCGCCGCACAGCAACTGCCACGCGATGCCACGGAAGTGGTGCGGAATGCCCTTGCGGACCAGCTCCTGTTGGGGGGGGGGGGACACACACAACACACACAACAAACACAATTAACACAACACACACAACAAACACAACAAACACAACAAACACAACACAACAAACACAACACACACAACAGAACACACACAGCAAACACAACACACACACAACACACACAACAAACACAACACAACAAACACAACAAACACAACACAACAAACACAACACACACAACAGAACACACACAGCAAACACAACACACACACAACACACACAACAAACACAACACAACAAACACAACAAACACAACAAACACAACAACAAACACAACAAAACAAATACAACACAGCAAACACAACACACACACAACACACACAACAAACACAACACAACAAACACAACAAATACAACACAACAAACACAACACAACACACACAACACACACAACAAACACAACACAATTAACACAACAAACACAACAAACACAACAAACACAACACAACAACACACACAACAAACACAACAAACACAACACAACAAACACAACACACAATTAATACAACACTACAACAAACACAACAAACACAACCAAACACCCCAACACAACACAACAAACACAACAAACACAACACAACAAACACAACGTCGCCACCGTCACCGTCACTGCAACCACCGCCACCACCACCGCCACCACCACCACCACCACCGTCATCGCCACCGTCACCGCAACCACCGCCGCCGGGGGGAGACAGAGGAGGCTGGGCAAATGGTGGTGGTGGTGGTGGTGGCGTTGGCAGTGACGGTGGTGGTGGCGGTGGCGGTGGCGGTGATGGTGGTGATGGTGGTGGTGATGGTGGTGGTGGTGGTGACGATGATGGTGACGGTGACGGTGGCGGTGGTGATGATGGTGGTGGTGACGGTGATGGTGGTGGTGACGGTGGTGGTGACGGTGATGGTGGTGGTGACGGTGGTGGTGACGGTGGTGGTGGTGGTGGTGATGGTGGTGGTGATGGTGGTGGTGACGGTGGTGGTGACGATGATGGTGACGGTGGTGGTGACGGTGACGGTGACGGTGACGGTGACGGTGGTGACGGTGTAGAGGCCACACGGGGGGGGGGCGGCTTCTGTCCGCGTGCGACGGAGCTCGCCTTGACGTGTTTGTCCCGCTTGCGCGACACCTCCTCCCACTCGTTGACCAGGTGTCCCCACACGGACCACGCGTCCTCGTCCATGTGGCCCAGGCCGCTGGAGGCCGACGAGGAGGACACGAGGGAGGAGCCGCTGTTCCTGCGCGAGCCACCGAATGACAGCGAGCGGCTGTCTGACTCCAGCAGCCTGGGGAGGCGCGGGGGGGGGGGCGGGGGGGCGGGGGCGGGGGGAGATGTGGGGGGAGATGGAGAGAGACGTGGGGAGAGATGTGGGGAGATGGGGAGAGATGGGGAGAGATGTGGGGAGATGGGGAGAGATGGGGAGAGACGTGGGGAGAGATGTGGGGAGATGGGGAGAGATGTGGGGAGATGTGGGGAGACGTGGGGAGATGGGGGGATGGGGAGATGGGGAGATGGTGAGAGACGTGGGGAGATGGGGGGATGGGGAGATGGGGAGATGGTGAGAGACGTGGGGAGAGACGGGGAGAGACGTGGGGAGATGGGGATAGATGTGGGGAGATGGGGAGAGATGGGGAGAGACGTGGGGAGACAGCGAGCGGCTCTCCGCTCCGCACACCACACACACACCGCACACACCACACACACCACACCACACACACCACACACACCACACCACACACACGACACACCACCACCACACTCCACACACCACACACACACCACACACACCACACACACCACACACACCACACCACACACACCACACATACACCACACCACACATACACCACACCACACACACCACACCACACACACCACACACACCACACATACACCACACCACACACACCACCACCACACACCACACTCCACACACCACACACACCACACACCACACATACACCACACACACCACACACCACACACACCACACAACACACACCACACACACCACACACACCACACACCACCACCACACACACCACACACACACCGCACACACCACACACACCACACACACCACCACCACACTCCACACACCACACACACCACACTACACACACCACACACCACACCACACACACCACACACACCACACACCGCACACCACCACACACCACACACACCACACACCGCACACCACCACACACCACACACACCACACACCCACACACACACACACCACACACCACACACACCACACACACCACACACACCACACACACCACACACACACCACACACACCACACACACCACACACACCACACACACCACACACCGCACTCCGCGCTCCGCTCACCGGTTCTGCTCCTCCAGCTTGGCGAGGCAGCTGTTCGTCGTCCGGGCTCAGCGCCTCCGGGGTCGGAGCGTCGCCCACGCTGGGAGTGTCCCGGGCGTTTGGGGGTGTCGCCCGGAGTGTTTGGGGTGTCGCCCGGAGTGTTTGGGGTGTCGCCCGGAGTGTTTGGGGTGTCGTCCGGAGTGTTTGGGGTGTCGCCCGGAGTGTTTGGAGTCTCGTCCCGAGTGTTTAGGGTGTTGCCCGGAGTGTTTGGGGTGTCGCCCGGAGTGTTTGGGGTCTCGTCCCGAGTGTTTGGAGTCTCGTCCCGAGTGTTTGGGGTGTCGCCTGGAGTGTTTGGGGTGTCGCCTGGAGCGTTTGGGGTGTCGCCCGGAGTGTTTTGGGTGTCGCCCGGAGCGTTTGGCGTGTCGCCCGGAGCGTTTGGGGCCACCTTCTCCACCTCCTCCTCCACTTCCTTCTTCGCGAGTCGCAGCTGAGGATGGGACGGGCGGGGGTGGGGGAGTGGGACAGAGACGACGTCGAGCTCAAGTGCCGGAGGCACCACCCTCGGGTGGGGCACAACGTGGCCAACCCTCCCCAGGCCCGGGGGCTCCGTCAGGTGACCCAGGGCTCCGTCAGGTGACCCAGCGCTCCGTCAGGTGACCCAGGGCTCCGTCAGGTGACCCAGGGCTCCGTCAGGTGACCCAGGGCTCCGTCAGGTGACCCAGGGCTCCGTCAGGTGACCCAGGGCTCCGTCAGGTGACCCAGGCCCGGGGGCTCCGTCAGGTGACCCAGGGCTCCGTCAGGTGACCCAGGGCTCCGTCAGGTGACCCAGGGCTCCATCAGGTGACCCAGGGCTCCGTCAGGTGACCCAGGGCTCCGTCAGGTGACCCAGGGCTCCGTCAGGTGACCCAGGGCTCCGTCAGGTGACCCAGGGCTCCGTCAGGTGACCCAGGCCCGGGGGCTCCGTCAGGTGACCCAGGGCTCCGTCAGGTGACCCAGGGCTCCGTCAGGTGACCCAGGGCTCCATCAGGTGACCCAGGGCTCCGTCAGGTGACCCAGGGCTCCGTCAGGTGACCCAGGGCTCCGTCAGGTGACCCAGGGCTCCGTCAGGTGACCCAGGGCTCCGTCAGGTGACCCAGGCCCGGGGGCTCCGTCAGGTGACCCAGGGCTCCGTCAAGTGACCCAGGGCTCCGTCAGGTGACCCAGGGCTCCGTCAGGTGACCCAGGGCTCCGTCAGGTGACCCAGGGCTCCGTCAGGTGACCCAGGGCTCCGTCAGGTGACCCAGGGCTCCGTCAGGTGACCCAAGGCTCCGTCAGGTGACCCAGGGCTCCGTTAGGTGACCCAGGCCCGGGGGCTCCGTCAGGTGACCCAGGGCTCCGTCAGGTGACCCAGGGCTCCGTCAGGTGACCCAGGGCTCCGTCAGGTGACCCAGGGCTCCGTCAGGTGACCCAGGGCTCCGTCAGGTGACCCAAGGCTCCGTCAGGTGACCCAGGGCTCCGTTAGGTGACCCAGGCCCGGGGGCTCCGTCAGGTGACCCAGGGCTCCGTCAGGTGACCCAGGGCTCCATCAGGTGACCCAGGGCTCCGTCAGGTGACCCAGGGCTCCGTCAGGTGACCCAAGACTCCGTCAGGTGACCCAGGGCTCCGTCAGGTGACCCAGGGCTCCGTCAGGTGACCCAGGGCTCCGTCAGGTGACCCAGGGCTCCGTCAGGTGACCCAGGGCTCCGTCAGGTGACCCAGGGCTCCGTCAGGTGACCCAAGGCTCCGTCAGGTGACCCAGGGCTCCGTTAGGTGACCCAGGCCCGGGGGCTCCGTCAGGTGACCCAGGGCTCCGTCAGGTGACACAGGGCTCCGTCAGGTGACCCAGGGCTCCGTCAGGTGACCCAAGACTCCGTCAGGTGACCCAGGGCTCCGTTAGGTGACCCAGGCCCGGGGGCTCCGTCAGGTGACCCAGGGCTCCGTCAGGTGACCCAGGGCTCCGTCAGGTGACCCAGGGCTCCGTCAGGTGACCCAGGGCTCCGTCAGGTGACCCAGGGCTCCGTCAGGTGACCCAGGGCTCCGTCAGGTGACCCAGGCCCGGGGGCTCCGTCAGGTGACCCAGGCCTGGGGGCTCCGTCAGGTGACCCAGGGCTCCGTCAGGTGACCCAGGGCTCCGTCAGGTGACCCAGGCCCGGGGGCTCCGTCAGGTGATGGCGATGGTGGTGGCAGTGATAGTGGTGGCGGCGGTGGTGGTGGCGGTGGCTATGGCGGTGGTGATGATGGTGGTGATGATGGTGGTGGTGGTGGTGGTGATGGTGGTGGTGGTGATGGTGGTGGTGGCGGCGGCGGCGGCGGTGGTGGTGGCGGTGGCGGTGGTGATGATGGTGGTGGTGATGGCGATGGTGGTTTTGTCATCATCATCGGCTGCTACTGACCTGGCTGCCGGGCTGGGCGGTAGTGGCGCTGGCGCTGGTGGTGGTGGCGCTGGTGGTGGCAGTGGCGGTGGCGGTGGTGGCACGTGGCACCGTGGTGTTGATGCGCGATGGCCTCAGTGGAGAGCCGGCACCACGGGATGGAGACACCAGCCCGGTCGCCATGGAGACACCGCGCTAGGTGGCGGTAGTGACGGTGTTAGTGGCGGTGTTAGTGGCGGTGTTAGTGGCGGTGTTAGTGGCGGTGTTAGTGGCGGTGTTAGTGGCGGTGACGGTGTTAGTGGCGGTGGTGGTGGTGGTGACGGTGGTGACGGTGGTGGTATTGGTGGTAGTGTTCGTGGTGGTGGTGGTATTGTTAGTGGTGGTGGTGGTGTTAGTGGCGGTGGTGGTGGTGGTGACGGTGGTGGTATTGGTGGTGGTGTTCGTGGTGGTGGTATTGTTAGTGGTGGTGGTGGCGTTAGTGCTGGTGCGGTGGTGGTAGTGGTGGTAGTGTTAGTGCTTGTGCGGTGGTGGTGTTAGTGGTGGTGTTGTTAGTGGTGGTGGTATTGTTAGTGCTGGTGGTGGTAGTGGTGGTGTTGTTAGTGGTGGTGTTGTTAGTGGTGGTGTTGTTAGTGGTGGTGGTATTGTTAGTGCTGGTGGTGTTAGTGCTGGTGGTGTTAGTGCTGGTGGTGTTAGTGCAGGTGCGGTGGTGGTGTTAGTGGTGGTGGTGTTAGTGGTGGTGGTATTGTTAGTGCTGGTGGTGGTAGTGGTGGTGTTGTTAGTGGTGGTGTTGTTAGTTGTGGTGGTATTGCTACTGCTGGTGGTGTTAGTGCTGGTGGTGTTAGTGCAGGTGCGGTGGTGGTGTTAGTGGTGGTGTTGTTCGTGGTGGTGGTGTTAGTGGTGGTATTGTTAGTGGTGGTGGTGATGTTAGTGTAGGTGCGATGGTGGTGTTAGTGGTGGTGTTGTTCGTGGTGGTGGTGGTGGTGATGGTGGTAGTGGTGTTGTTGGTGGTGGTGGTGATGGTGGTGCGATGATGGTGGTGTTGTTAGTGGTGGTGTTGTTCGTGGTGGTGGTGATGGTGGTAGTGGTGTTGTTGGTGGTGTTAGTGGTGGTGTTGTTCGTGGTGGTGGTGATCGTGGTAGTGGTGTTGTTGGTGGTGGTGGTGATGGTGGTGCGATGGTGGTGGTGGTGTTGTTAGTGGTGGTGTTGTTCGTGGTGGTGGTGGTGATGGTGGTAGTGGTGTTGTTGGTGGTGGTGTGTTGTTAGTGGTGTTGTTGGTCGTGGTGGTAGTGGTGGTGGTGGTGTTGCTAGTGTTGTTGGTCGTGGTGGTGGTGGTGATGGTGGTAGTGGTGTTGTTGGTGGTGTTGTTAGTGTTGTTGGTCGTGGTGGTGGTGGTGTTGTTAGTGTTGTTGGTGGTGGTAGTGGTGGTGTTGTTAGTGTTGTTGGTCGTGGTGGTGGTGCGATGGTGGTGGAGCTCCCTGCTGACGTTGTGAGGAGGCCGTAGGAGGCCGCAGTCGGGGGTCGGAGGTCGGGGGTCAGGGGTCAGGGGGTGGGTCAGGGCGGGAGATTGGTGCCGGGCCTGGAGTCCACGTGACGTTGTTTTACATCGTTACCTGCGAGGAGAGGAGACAACGGTCGTCATCGTCGTCATCGACGTCGTCATCGTCGTCATTGTGGTCGTCGTCGTCATCATCATCGTCGTCGTCATCGTCGTCATCTTCGTCATCTTCGTCGTCGTCATCATCATCATCAACGTCATCATCATCATCGACGTCATCATCGACGTCGTCATCATCATCGACGTCATCATTGACATCATCATCGACATCATCATCATCATCATCGACATCATCATTGACATCATTATTGACATCATCATCATCGACGTCATCGACGTCATCATCATCGACGTCATCGACGTCATCATCATCGACGTCATCGCCACTGGGGGAGACAAAGTCGTCCCCCACTCCTGATGTCGAGGGTAAATGGGCGAGGTTTAGGACTGTGACTCACGCAGCTGCAATGGCTGCTTTGGGTACGCGGTCCAGACCTCCCCAGAGACCCTGGCTGACAGAGGAGGCGTTCAGGATGGCTGAGAAAAAGCGACAGGCCCACTGCCATCGGCTACAGAATCCCACGTCGGAGAATGAGGAGGCTTACCGCAGCCTTCGCTCGGAGGTTCGGAGAGCCGTGAGGCGCTGCAAGGATGGGTGGTGGTCGCGGGTTGCTGAGGAGATGGAGTCTGCCTCAGTGGCCAGCGATCACAAATCGCTCTTTAACTACATCAACAAAGTAACCTGCAGCGCCACACCTATTACCATCATTAGGGGAAAAAACGGTGATCCAATCTACGACCCCCCGGAACAGGTTTGCAGATTTACTGAGCATTTCTGTGAGGTCCTGGGGCAGGGGAAATCCCTCAGCCAGGAAAACATCGTGGCACAAAGTGAGGATGACCCTGCTGAGGCTGCGGTGCCTCAAATATTGGAAGTCACCCCCTGTGAGTGGCTGGCTGAGGTGCCATCTGTTGAGGAAGTACTGAAGGCGATCCGGAGTCTGAGACCAGGAAAGGCAGCGGGCAGAGATGATCTCCCAAGCGAAATGCTGAGGGAGGGTGGCGTTTGTGCACAGACTGCCCTATATGACATCATAACAACAGTCTGGACCACTGGACGGGTTCCGCAGGATTGGAAGGATGCCCTGGTGGTCCTCCTCTTTAAGAAGGGGGACCGCACAGACTGTAACAACTATAGAGGCATCTCACTCCTCAGTGTGCCGGGAAAGGTCCTGGCAAGGATTATTCAACATCGCCTTGCCAGGCACGCTGAGGAGAGGCTTGCGGAGCCCCAATGCAGTTTCAGGAAAGGGCGGTCCTGCACAGATATTACTGCATCCCAGGCCAGGTAGTTAACATCTCCTAGCCACCGTGATGATGATGATGGGAGAGCGATAGACACGCAGAGTCGGGATCGAACCCATGACCTTCCGCAATACCAGGCCAGTTAGTTAACATCTCACAGCCATCGGAGGGGTTGAGTTGAAGTTAAACTCTCGCCAATCATTAAACGCATTAAAGGTTGCTCAACCTCAGACGTTATTACCTTGGCTGGTAAGGAGATGGGCGTAGAATTTACAGAGTGAACCATAGAGTAACAGAGACATCCATAGAGTTGCATAGAGACCCATAGAGTTACATAGAGACCCAAAGAGTTACATAGAGATCCATAGAGTTACAGAGACATCCATAGAGTTGCATAGAGATCCATAGAGTTACATAGACATCCATAGAGTTACATATAGATCCAAAGAGTTACGTAGAGATCCATAGAGTTACATAGAGATCCATAGAGTTACATAGAGATCCATAGAGTTACATAGACATCCATAGAGTTACATAGAGATCGATAGAGTTGAATAGAGATCCATAGAGTTACATAGAGACCCATAGAGTTACATAGGGATCCATAGAGTTACATAGAGACCCATAGAGTTACATACAGATTCATAGAGTTACATTGAGATCCATAGAGTTACATAGAGACCCATAGAGTTAGATAGAGATCCATAGAGTTACATAGAGACCCATAGAGTTACATAGAGATTCATAGAGATCCATAGACATCCATAGAGTTACATAGAGATCCATAGAGTTACATAGAGATCCATAGAGTTACATAGAGATTAATAGAGTTACATAGAGATCCATAGAGTTACATAGACATCCCTCGCTAAGTAGAGATCCACAGAGTTACATAGAGATCCATAGAGTTACATAGAGATCCATAGAGTTACATAGACATCCCTCGCTAAGTAGAGATCCATAGAGTTACATAGAGATCCATAGAGTTACATAGAGATCCATAGAGTTAGACAGAGATCCATAGAGTTACATAGACATCCCTCGCTACGTAGAGATCCATAGAGTTACATAGAGATCTATAGAGTTACATAGACATCCCTCGCTACGTAGAGATCCATAGAGTTACATAGAGATCCATGGAGGGGGGAAACACCCTATCACGTGATGGCCTCAATGGCACACCTAGCCTGGCATGCAGGGAAACGGGGTAGCTGACGAGGTGAAGCATTGACGAAGCTGTTACAAGTTAACTCTGCTACACCGCCGCCTTCACCTCCCCCCGCCTGTGTATGAGTAACGCGGCGAGTTAACAAGCGAGCTCAGCCGCACGCACAACAACAACAACCGCCATTCACCACTAAGTGGCAGTGACGTCACCACGGCGCTTGTGCCAGGCCATGTGCACCTTGAGGCCACGTGAAGTGTCGAACGTCCCGCCGGCAGGAGGTCACGGGGCAGACCCAGGTGCCACGGGTCGACTGACTGAGATGACTGGCTGATGCACCACCTGTGCCCCCTACTGTGCCAACCTGCTGTGCTTTAGTGACCTGGCGCTCCGCTCGTTGTTGTGAGCGTCGCTACCGCCGCCCTCCGTTGTTGTTGGAGGGCGACTGCCTCCAACTGTCCAGTAGCGTCCTTCACGAGCCTCCTCCACAGAGGCCGATCTTGACACCGCTGGTACCAGTCATCGGCAAGTCCACTCAGCTCCACGTCCTCCTGTACCACATCACTCCATCTCTTCTCTAGCCCGTGACGCGCCCGTTTCGCCCCCTCTATCCGGCCGAACAAAAGCTGTTTAGGCATGCGGTGGCTGAGCATGCGGGCTACATGACCCAGCCAACACAGCCTTGCCTGCCGGAGGTCACCGATGGAACCTTGTCCAGATCTTTCAAGGATTTGTGAGGATGGATCGTAGGCAGGCCAGCCTAAATGTTTCTAACCGGCGAAGATGTTCCATTATGGGGGTCCACATTTCCCAAGCGTAGGAAAAATAGGGCATGACTGTGGCCGAAAAGACCTGAAGCTTCGTGCGGAGAGACAGACCAGGTAGCTTCCACATGGCATTACGCAACCGATGAAAAGATATTGCCGCTCGACTGATTCGGAGGGAGACCTCTGATGTCAAACCAGAGCCGGTCATGAGCACACCGCCCAGGTATGGGAAACTCTCCACTCTCTCCACAACTGCCCCATCACCAATTGGGAGTTGGTACAAAATACCCAGGCAGGTGCTTAGTTTTAGTGGGGCTGATGGTAAGGCCCCACCTCTTGGTGGCACGCTCCAGGTTCAGCAGCAGCGCCTCCAACTCCTCCTCTGAGTGAG